GCCGAGTCCTGCTCCAGCCTGAGGATGGAGAGGACAAAGGCTGTGAATCTGGAGACGAAGGGGATGCTGCGTCTGAAGGGAAGGAGGCGTCTCCCTCAGAAGGTCTGCCTCCTGGGAGGCCAAGAAGAGTCTCTCTCTCTCTCTCTCCCTCCCTCTCTCTCCCCCTCTCTGTCTCTCTTCTTGCCCCTTGGAGGGAGTGCTCTGATCCTGATTTAAAGAGGGCTTACAGTCTTGCTCACCTTATGGAAGAGAGGCATCTTTTTACTCTGTGTACCCCATGCACCTGGCCCAGGCGTGCCTGCGGTGGGGCCACGGAGGGGAAGAGAAAGGTGGAATTCTGCCCCCCCCCGTCCAGGTTGTCGAAATGCTCCAGAAAGATTGTCATTGGCTTCTCCCTCCCTCCCTCCCTCCCCCTGGCAGAAGGCGCGCCCAGCAAGTGGGGCCTGGTGCTGGAGCGCCTGATGGTGCTGGCCAAGAACTTCTCCAACATCTTGAGCGGCATCCAAGTCTTCGTGTTGCGCCTCCTTGAGCTACACATCCTGAAGCTGGTGGCCCTTTACATCCTCTGGGTGGCTTTGCAGGAGGTGAGGCTGGAAGGAAGGGAAGGGAAGGGAAGGGAAAGGGAGTGCTGCCAAAGGAGAGCAGCAAAGTCTTTGGGGGGGGGGATCACAAAAGAGAAATGCTGTAGATAGCCATTTGGGCTGCTTGTGGGAGGGGTCTGAAGCCGTATCCCAACAATCATACAGCATATGGGGAAATGCGCTCCAAGTGGGAGCCTGGGTAGGGATCGGGGCCGGGCTGGAGAGATTTCCAAGCAGAAAGAAGGGTTGCATTCACGGAAACCAGGCCTTTCCGGCACGATCCGTCGTGTGCCCTTGAAGCTGTCTCAATGCACCCTTTTTTCCCCGTGGGAAGCCAAGCTGAATGGGTTCTGTATGCAGGATGGTGGCTTCGGGCACTTTGCCCGTGCAGCTGAGGTTTTGTGCATGCGTGGAGCGCCCCATGTGTGAGTTCACAAAGGACCATGCAAAGAGCCACAGCTGCGGGTAAATAACCTGCCCTTTCAAAGCCACGTCCACGGGGAGGCTAAGGTCTCTTGGAGCCTCACTTACATTCTGCCCGGGACTGAGCCTTTTTCACCCCCCCCTCCCAGGCTGTCTCTGCTTTAGGGGCCTCCACGTGACACCTGTGGCTACCCTTGGATTCTATTCCAGCTGCCGTGGTTCCTTCCTGCTAAATCCTGGGACTTATACTAGGAGGAGGTCCTGAGAATTCCCTGTTTTTGTTATTTTTATGTATTTGTTACCTTCTGGCCTGCCTTTTTCACGAAGGGAACTCCGCTCAGGGCAGCTTACAAACATTGTTAAAAGCAGATTGAGGGGAGATATGAAAAAAAAACTCATTACCCAAATCAACCGTTTCCCCCCCACCCCCAACCAACCAACCAACCAACCAACCATTTCCCCCCCGCCCCCAACCAACCAACCAACCAACGCATAAGGGAAGAGGGCCCACAGCCCTGGGTGTGTGTGGGGGGGTGTGGGGAGGTGATCTCCACCTTGGGTTTCTCTTGCCCCCCCCAGGTGTCGGTGATGAACTTCCTGCTGGTGGTCTTGTGGGCCCTCGCCATCCCCTTCAGCCGCTTCTCCCACATGGCCTCCTGCCTCTCCACCGTCTGGGTCTGCATCATCATCATCTGCAAGATGCTCTACCAGCTGAACATCGTCAACCCACAAGAGTATGCCAGCAACTGCACCAAGGTAGAGGGATCGGGCCCAACCGGTGTGATTTTTTCATTGCACTGATTGGGAGACGACTTGGGGGGGGGAATGACAAGACCCGAGAGCTGTCTGGCCCCCACCCCCACCTCAGCAGCTGAAAACAGAAGGTCCCTTCCCTGATTTGGGGCCGGGGAGGGGGGGAAGCAGGGAATCAAGTCTGCTTTGGCCCCGTAAAGTCCCAAATTGTTTTGCAAAAGCAAGACACGGAAAGTGCGGTAAAACGTCTTATTTCCAAAGAGGAGAATCTCTGGGTCGGGCAGCCCGATTCTCAATATTATGAAAATTAGTTCATAAACCTTTTTTTAAAAAAAGCTTTGGAAGCCTTCTGTGTTCCACAGACAATGTGAATGCCACCTGTGGATTATGGATCCGATCCACTCATCTATACCATAAAAAAATTCTTGGAACGCGTTGCCCAGTGGAACAGGCTTGGCTCTGAAAGGCATCACGGTCATTCAGAAAAAAAATTAATAATTAAAATGCCCAGGAGGAATACCTTTAGCTTGTGTTGGAAGCTGCACGGGAGCACGGTGCTAACCAATAGATTAATAATAATAAAAAAAACACTTGGGAACATTCTCAAAACACACCTTGCTGCCCGCTCTCTGTCCTCTGCTGTGTCCGGTCCAATCCTGGTGCCCTTTTTGCTTCCTCTGCAGCCGCAGCCGAATAGCACCAACCTCCTGCCGGAAGAGATTGGCAACTCCACGCTCTATCGGGGTCCCGTTGACCCAGCCAACTGGTTTGGCATCCGCAAGGGTTTCCCCAACCTGGGTTACATCCAGGTGAGTCTCGCTAGCGCTCACTCTCTCGGGCGCGCACCCACGCACCCACACACTCTTTCTCCACTTTGACCTTCCATTTCCCTTCCGAATTTTCCAAGCACGGATCCAAACAACCCCCACAAAAGCCTTCTGATTTGGGGCCTTTCTCGGAGCCTCTTTGAGTTCCAAGTCTAGGAGGAAGCTCTGTCTCTGTCGAGTCCCACTGGGGAATCTCAGGACACGAGTGGCCGGTGCCGGCCCAAACCTGGAGGCCACGGAAGCTGATTCTGGCTTTTGGCTTTCTCTCCTCCCCTCCCTTGCGGTGTCACTTTAGCGCAACCTCTGACGAAACTGCCTAGGTTCTGTGGGGATCCCCACCAACGTCCTTGGTTCTTGATGGCCGAGGAGAAAGATCGCTTCTACCCCCATTTCTCACCAAGAGTGGATCGGGAGTGGAGGAGGGCCCCTCCCCCCCATTCGCTTCCCCTTATCCCTGCAGAAGGAAGGCCCATTCATTAGGACGCCAGTCCCGTGTCAAAAAGAGGAGGCGTGCCCCAGCCTTCCTTAGCCAGAGGGGGGAGGGGAGGGATGCTCGCCCACGACGTTTTCCTTGGAACCTGTGGAACCTTCTGACTCATGGGGTTGGGATTCAGAATCCCTGACGGGTGATGCTTTGGGGCTTCTTCAGCCCCCTCCCCCCCCTCGCTGCTGAGTCTCCCTTTTGACCCTTCCAGAACCACCTGCAGGTGCTGGTCCTGCTGGTCTTCGAGGCTGTGGTGTACCGGTGCCAGGAGTATTACCGCAAGCAGCACCAGCTGGTGCCCCCAGCCACCCAGACGGTCTTTGAGGGTGCCACGCGCCAGAATTTGGATCGGGGCCTGCTCCACTGCATCAAGTACTTCATCAACTACTTCTTCTACAAGTTCGGCCTGGAGGTACCCTTGCTCCACTCTTCAGTGCCTTGTGCCCCCTGCCCCATTCCTCGCTGGTGGGGGGAGGTCATGTCCACCTGCTTCTCCACATACATACACACCAGGGGTGTGTGTCAGACTACAACTCCCATCATCCCCAGGCTAAATGTTTGGGGGCGGAGGTGCCTGGCCACGAATCTTTGCTCATCTCCCTTTCTCCCTCGCTCATCTCCCCCTGGGGGTGCGGGGGGGGTGAGAGGTAAGGACCACCGCCAGAGCTTCTTCACCCTGTTCGGGTCCCCTTCATCCCCGCTTCCTCCTCCCCTTGTTTCTCGAGATCTGCTTCCTGGTGACGGTGAACGTGATCGGCCAGCGCATGAACTTCATGGTGATCTTCCACGGGTGCTGGCTGGTCGTCATCTTGACCCGGCGGAGGAGGCAGGCCATCGCTCGGCTCTGGCCCAAGTACTGCCTCTTCCTGGCCCTCTTCTTGACCTTCCAGTACCTTCTCTGCGTCGGCATCCCTCCGGTGCTCTGCATCGGTGAGTCTCGGGCGCCGCAACCTCCGTGGGGATCCAAGCACCAGACGTGGGCTGCGTCCTTCCCCTTTGAAGAAGGAAATGGAATGGACGTGGTTGCGGAGTGTGGGAGGGGGGGAGAAACCTCACCCCCTGGGGTTGGATCCTGTACAGGAGTTACTGGACTGCAGCTCTCAGAGTGGCCGATGAGGGGCCACGTTGCCTTCCTTCAGCTGATGGGAGCGAATCCGTGAGGAGGGAAAGGCCCAGGGGCTTCAGTTCAGGAGGGAGGGACAGCGTCGCCTTAAGCACCTCTGGAGGGGGGAGGAGGTCGCCTTGGGGCTCGGCAGGCACCTCGTTGGCAGACGTCACTGCCCAGGGGCCGTTTGCTGGATCCCAAGGGTCTCTGGCTTCTTGCTTCCCCTAGACTACCCCTGGCGCTGGAGCCACGCCGTTCCAATCAACTCTGCCCTCATCAAGTGGATGTACTTCCCCGATTTCTTCGTGAAGCCCAACTCCGTCAACCTCATGAGTGAGTGGAAGAGCTCTCGGGCAAGGGCTCAGGGCTCCCTGCAGCTCTCCTCCTCTGCTCTCCTCTGGTCTAGCCGGCAGGGGCAAAGTCGGAACCACCTCCAGAATATCCCAAGCAAGCAGGACCTCTCGGGGGATTCTGGGAGTGGCTGGCCAAGAAGGCCCTTTCCCCATCCCGCTCCGTGGTAGAAGGGCCCTTCTGGGATCCCTCCGGGCATCCCGGGACCGTTCCCACCCTCCCTGCTTGCTCTCTTTTCCCCCCCAGGTGACTTTTTGCTGCTGCTCTGTGCCTCCCAGCAGTGGAAGGTTTTTGTCAATGAGCAGACGGAGGAGTGGGTGCGGCTGGCCGGCGACAACCGGGAGCACCTGCAGCTCCCGAAAGGGGAGCCAAACCCCGTGCCCAACTTTGTCAACTGCAGGTGAGCACAAAAGCGGAGCGATGGCCCTGGCCGTCCCGAAGGACGAATGAAGAGCCGACGGGACCGGGATGGGAATGAATGGGGGCCCAGCTCACCTCTCGGGTTCTCCGCCTCCCTCCCCAGGTCTTACCTGGACATGCTGAAAGTGTGCGTCTTCCGCTACCTCTTCTGGTTCGTGCTGGTCATCGTCTTTGTGGCCGGCGCCAACCGCATCAGCGTCTTCGGCCTGGGCTACCTGATGGCCTGCTTCTACCTGCTGCTCTTTGGCACCGCCCTGCTGCGCCGGCCCCTCCGAGCCCGCCTGGTGCTGTGGGACTGCCTGATTCTCTACAACGTCACCGTCATCATCGCCAAGAACATGCTGGCGGTAGGAGCTGTGGGGGACGGAAGGCCAGCCGGTCGCCCGTGCGGGCGGGGAAAGGGGAGGCGGAGGCCAGGAACTGGGAGGAAGGGTCTTTGCTTCCTTGCTAGTTAGTCTCTCCAAGGACAACTCATTCCAGGCTGGCTGGAGGATTCTGGGAACTGTAGTCTGAGTGAACAACATTGCCAAGCCCTTTTCCTTGCAGACGCCTTGGCAGAATGGCAAAAGCGTGCGATGGGTGGGCGGGTGTAGGTGTCTCACTCTGTGGCGCACCGTCTCCTGGCAGTCTAAAGACCAAGCCCTTTTTACGTGGCCTAAGCTTTCCTTGTGGCCCAGAACTCACGGGTTCAGATGCAGGGAAGGTCACACCCTGACCTCTGTCTGTGTTTCAGGGGCCATGAGCCTCTTTGCTGCTTTTTCCAGACATCCTGGGGGTGATCCCCCTCCTCTAATTTACTGGCACACCCACTCTCTGCGTTGGGAAACGGGGACCTTTGCTCACTCCCTTTTCACGCCCATGCCCCCCTTTCTCTTTCCCCCGCCAGCTCCTGTCCTGCGTCTTTGTCCAGCAAATGCAGGAGAGCTTCTGCTGGGTGATTCAGCTCTTCAGCCTGGCTTGCACCGTCAAGGGTTACTACGACCGTGAGTATCTGCAGCGGTTGGTTCCCCCGGGGGCGGAGGGGCCAAGGGACTGATCCTGCCTCTCCGGGTTCAGTTCCCCGTCCCTGGATGGCCGCTCTCCTCCCACCTCTGGGTGGCCTCCTGCTCCCCAACCTGGGATAGTCCTGCTGGTGCTTGGTGGTGGGGAGAGGGGGGGTCTTGCATGCTCCTTTCCTGCCCTCCCCCCCAAATAAGGTCCCCTGAGCCTCCCCCTTTTGCCTCTTCTCTGCCAGCCAAGGCTGTGGACAAGACCCAGGACTGCGCGCTGCCGGTGGAGGAAGCCGGCATCATCTGGGACAGCATCTGCTTCTTCTTCCTGCTCCTGCAGCGCAGGGTCTTTCTCAGCTACTACTTCCTGCACGTGGTGGCCGACCTCCAAGCCTCGGCCCTCCAGGCCTCCAGGTGGGTGGGGAGAGGGGGGGCAG